GCCGAGCGGACCGGTTCGTAGACGAGCCGAGCTCGGCTCGGCTCGTTAAGAGGTAAGCGCTCGTGGGAAAAAAATTTGACGAGCCACGAGCCGAGTCGAACCGACTCGTGAGCTCGTGGGCCGAGCCGAGCTCGCCCACGAGCAAACGAGCCACGAGCGGCTCGGCTCGTAGCTCGTTTCTCCAAGAGCCATGAGCTAAAGAGCCGAGCCGGCTCGGCTCGGCCCATTGACAACACTAGGTGTGGCTCGCGATTTTTAAAATTGTGGGCACCATCATCTATGTGAGGGGGCTGTCACCCATTGATGTACATTTATCAAGCATTTCCCTATAAAATATGCTAGAATCATGCTACATGTACAATATTGGTTGATAATATTAATTGACAACATCCAATTTGACATCATCATATACATCCATTTTAAAAAATTGTTTTCTACATCACATGTTAAGATTTTGGCAACACATGATTGTCAACCATTGTTGTCAATAAATGTTGTACACTTAGATTTATTCAATATGCTAAGACCAACATAGGAAATGTTGTCTCCGAGGCCTGTTGTTGGGCCATGGTCACTAGTTGTCAAAATTTATTTGTCAAACTTCTATTGACATATACCAATAAATAAGTTCGATTCAAAGAAAATTAAGTCGATCACATGAATTTTTTTGTGTTTATCATTTGATTCATTGCTAGATGGTTAATGGTTGAGGTCATTTATAATTTGATCATTTGTATAAAGGGTGTTGTATTTTTGATCGAGAAATTATAGGGAAAGTACTTTAAATTTCTCCCCTATACCTCTTTGGATGTTCTCGACTATATCTTCCATTCCAAGGCTGTATAAATTGGTTATACTGTTGGGAAATTATTTAATTTGTCATGATGGGCCGACATATGTAATTAACTGTGTATAAATGCTATCTTAAAGTTAAGCCCAATATTAAAGTGATCTAATAAAGAATTAAGTAATTGGGCTTTAAGCATCTAATTAAAGTGTGG